ACAAAGAAAAAGTTGAGAATTGCTGGGTTCTTTGCGTTGTTACTTTTCCTAACATATCTTTGTAATAAAAGACTAAAGCCATCAATAAACTGCATTCAATAATACATCAGCAAAAGCGCGCACAAAAACTGTGTTCGGCCACCTTAAATAAATTAACCCTGAATTTAAGTAAGACAAAATACTTGGTTTTTCAACTGTGACAAAAAAATTAATTTTAATCTATATCCTCTCCTCAAAATAGCAGATCAGGACCTAGTACAGTCTTTCAATATTGATCATATTACTCCCCACTACACAACCTTAGCCTCTTTAAGCTTCCTGACATTTAAATTATATATGTACCAACTATTTTATGATCACCTAATTGACAAAAAGTCTCTGAATCTCATCCTGTCTCTAGTATCTGAGCAACATAATTACACTACTCGAAGTGTGTCCTTACAACACCTGAATCCAAAATCCTTAAGATTAAATATATAATTTTAAAGAAAATTTTGCCCAACTATTATTGGATGCTATTAGTGGAATAACATTCCTTTATCTATATGTAATAAGCCAACCAGAAAACTATTTAAAAAACTACTTAACAAGTTTTATTTTGCTCAGTGTTAATAATTTTAACATAATATATTTATTTACTATGCTTTTACTCTTTCCTCTCTTATACTAGTTTTCTTTTATCCTAAAATAAATGTATTTAATTAAAGGACATATAATTGACTATATTTTGCCCTTTCCACTTCTTTTTCACTGCACTAGCTTATTTCTTAACAATATTGTATTCATTTCATCAAGTAAAGACATGAAAAATACAAATAAATGAGACCCAGAGACTCAAAAGAATGTGCTGTCAGTACCTGGATTGATTTGAAGACTGTAGTTACTCTTGTTTGCATATTCAAATAAGCAGTACATTGGGTTGAGCACTTCATGGGAAAGAAGAAAGAACCACTCCCTGTTGAAGAAGTAAGCAATGTTTACAATATTATTACATTAACAACAGTCACTATTCAAGGTTGATCATCAGTATATGGAAATCCTACCTTGCAACACCACCATAATCTAGACCTTCTTCTCCTTTGAAGATAATGTACAGCCTCCGACGCAAGTCATGTGGAGCATATCGCATAACCTGACACAGACAATATCACTATAGCATATAATTTTTTCCCAAATGATACAGTAAGTAACAAACATGCAAGAGTGAAGTTACTTTAATTATTAAACACATGCAGAAACAATTGCAGATAAAATATATAACACCAAATGAAGTCTTCTTTTGCAGATGCCTACACTTCTCTGAGCAGAAGATCCCAAAGAAGCCGTTTATGGCAGAAGCTACAATTGTTTCATGAAGCATCAAAGTTGGGTAAAATCACAGTATTTCAAAACATTATCAAGTGAATGAACCAGCCAGATGGGTGTGGTCTGTGTTTGTGACATCATTCCATGACAGCAACTGCATAAGGATAACTTGCGAGCAGTGAGTTGTTTGTGACATTGTTCTGTGCTCAAAAGTGCATGCAAAATTGGGGGGGCCTTGGTAGTGTGGCCAACTAAACACTGCAGAGATCAAGATTTCATGTTTTTTTTGGTTGATTGGTAAGTGTTTACATCAAAGTTTGAATAATTCAGAGTTCAGTAGGGCAGGTTTTTGCCTGTGATTCAATAATTCCAGTATCTTAAAGCCAAATTAGAAACCAGTAAGTGAAGCTCATTTTCAAACAGTTTTTTCATTACTCTTATAAGCCACTCCCCCCCTTGACATGAGCACCTCCGTTTATAAACCCACTCAAAACTCCTTACAAAGTTGTTGTATAAGCTCGGGGCTTACAAATGGCCATTAATGGTAAATGTCAATTTTAAACAGTTACTATCACAATAATAAATCAATTTCATTTCATTTTAAGCAAGAGGAGGGCTTAACAGCAAGTAACAAACATTTTGCTTATAGGTAGATGGGCCCATAACCAGGCAGGGGAGGGGGGGACTTATAAGATGCAGTTTATGGTATATTTAGTAAACATCTGAGTCTACAAACCTGCTGAAATGAGTCCTCAAATATGTTAGTTCTGTTGACTGTTATTTTAATATGACTTGGAAGAGAATTTGACTGTAAAGAAAAGGCAACAACTCAGAATCCAAGGCTAACACAGATTTTTAATAAACAACAACAGCAGCAGTTGCCGTTTCCCTCATCCCATCCCAGCATGATCTACATACAATCCTACAAGCAACATGACAAGTAGACAAACATACAGTATGGGCATTCACCCTTTTCTCCTATACAGTGTTGCTGTGTAGTTTGACAAACAATGCCTCCTATTGGTGACTATTCTACAACATTGTTTGGGAGGAGAGACCTCTACTCCACAGCTCTTAAAACAAATTGCTTATGAATACATTAATGATCTTGACCTCACACTGGGACTTAGTGTTTGGTCAAGATGGCTGACTATTGGCCAATTTCTTTTCTTGAGCATTTATGAACCAAGATAGAGTCGAGATCCATAAACTCGTAAAAAAAAAAGAGAATGAGGCCAATAGCCAGCTGAACAAGCTTGATCAATAAAGGATTTATTACATGTCTTTTGGGGAATTTTTCTTGTGGGACACAGTGGGTAGTCCTGAGTGGGCAAGATAGCACCTTATAATATGCTATCTCCGTGAGTCGGAAAGATGAACCGAATCTTGCGCTGTGATTGGCTACCCGAGTAGGCAAGGTGGCATTATCTTGCCCACTCATGATTACCCACTGTGTCCTGCAAGAAAATAGTATTCTTTTTCCATGTTATAAATCTTTTACTGACCAAGCTTGTTCAGTCAAGATGGCTTGATGTCGGCCTTGTTCTTTTTTTTTTTACAAGTCTCAGGCCATCAACACACACAAAAAGACACTTAGCCAATATCCAGCCATCTTGACCTCATGCATAGTCAATAACCCAATATATCTTGCCTGCTTGGGCAGTAAATCAGAGCACAGGATTTGGTTTATCTTGCCCAATCATAGAGCCAGCCATATAATAAAATACAATACACACCCCCTCCCCCAAAAACAATGTTGAAATAACAGGGCTAAGTTTGAAGGGAAAAAAAAAAACAAAATAGTAGTTTAGCGTCTAGTGATGCAGGTGAACACAGAATTATCATAGGCAGATTAAAGTAGAATGCAACAGACTTTTGACAACTATATGGAACTTAACAATGTTTGCACCCAACATGTTCCCAAGTTCAGATGCAGTAAGTTAAAGAGCAACTTTTTACAAAATAGTCAAAAAAAAAAATAAGTTCACGTTGGGTACGTGTGGACTTAGCGTCCTTTTTGCATTTTTGAATTTTCATAGCTTAAGGAGAAGGGGCTGCATATCAGGTTAGGCTGCTTCTTTCATTTGTTAGCTTGTTTAGTTCTTTGGTTGGTTAGTTAAAATATCTTTGTGGTTTGGGTGTTCTATATAAAAGAAACCCTGTTGTACAAGGACAGAGAAAACTATTTGTTTCATTTGGGAGTGCTACAGCCCCCCCGCTCCACCCCCTATGTATATGCTTAAAGCACAAACCTGAGAGGTATGAATTGACCCTTGTTGACCTTATTAAAACAGTTAGATTTTACACTTTTTAACTCAAGCTTTTGAACCTTATTTTAAAACAAACTAGTATTTGTGGAGTAATTTGAGAATTCTGGATTAGAAATAGTATTTACTCTGACCATCTGTGTTAAAAATTGTTTTGAAATGAAATCCTCAGAGGATGAAGCCGCAATCCACACAAAAAAATTAGGGGGTCACCATGCTTGTTGAAAACAAAAGATGATGACAGGCCTACACAGACTCCCTTTGTGAATTGTGATAGCAATGCATTTTAGCCTTCAATTAAATT